ACAGAATTCACTAGCCCAATAGCAAAATCCACTTGCCCCAGGCTATCAACGAGCATTAACATTCTTGAATGAAGTGGTGGACAAAATAATGATTGTAAATTTGGTATTTGTTATTTCCATATTACAGTCTTTAAATGAAAGTTATCTGCTTGATGACATACTAAATATCTGGAAAGGTTTCATATCAATCGGGATGTTACTAAAACGGGGAACGGGGAGCGGGGAGCGGGGAACGGGGAACGGAAGTCTGGGAACGAGTTGTCAGCGGAAACCTCCACAAAAATCCAATATGGCCGATGATCGATGATAGAGAACCGTCGAAACAAACTTAACCAATAACGGCGTTACTTTACTTGAACTATATGCTCATGAGGTGCTTGAAATAATACGGAGGTAAAAACTTCATGACGTTTTTCACCTTTTTGCGTTTTACTAAACAATTATCCGTAGGAAACAAAATGTGCTCCAACAGCAGTTGAAAAAAGCCAATCGGGACAAAGACTCTCAAAGCACATGTACAGCCATATTTGGAACTCAAGCGAATCTATACTGAGTCTAGCCCACAAAGCAATTAACTACTTTTCCATGATAGATAACATACATCGAAGTAGTCAAGTAGCTTGTGTGCAAACTTCTTCTATTTCCTTTGATAGAGATGACTGCTTTGAAAAATGTTATTGACCACGTCATCACATAATTAGTAAGACTACTTTAACAATCTGGTTCTGCTTTTAATATTATTAGATCTACTACACTGCAAGCATTCATGATATTGAAGTGTTTCACTGATCCATGAAAATAAAATAATATCATTTTATTATTTTGTGAAACAATTTGTTTCAGGTCAGTTTGCCCAGTATAGACCAGTATAATGACCCTAATGGAACCTAATTCACTCATTTTCCTCACCCTAATCAGTAACTGCTTCAAAGTCGTACAGTGGCCATTTGTCTTTCTGCGAAATACCCTGACGACCCTTTCCTGAATCAAAACCATTGGATGGCATTGAATGCAACATTCTCACTCACTGCAGATCCTCAATTAACCCCCGCCCCCTAAGAATGAGATCCCAAACCCCTCCCTTTTGAAGAAAAATGTCGTAAAATAATCAAAGTACCTCTTCATGGGCACGAAACGTTTGGTGCAATTCATACCATACAATATCGCTGTATCAAGTACTGTTCTCGGTGCAGGAGGAGGGGGTACTATAATGGCCTAAACAGAGCCTGAAGCCTTTTTCAGGCTTCAGGTACATGAAAGGGAAGGGGTTTTTATAGTTGAAGTATATGAAAGGGACCAAAATGAGATCAGTCACAGATGCATTTTATGGATGTGAGAGACAAGAAAACCTGTTTTTCTAAAGATGGTGTATTTACAGCAGTTAAAAAGGGATGCAGCGTTCAAAATTAGGTATGTGAAAGGGGTACCATTTGTCACAAGAGGGTATACAAAACGGGTACCTTTTCTGTCTAAAATGGTACATACAAAGGGTAAACGGTTGGTCCCTGGGGCAGAGCCTCTTTGGTGAGTACTCACCCCCCCCTCCTCTCTGGGTTACTGTTACTCTAGTCTGATTCTTCTCTTTAATTTCTTTGATACTGTGCTTCATTAAATGAATTAAAATTCATTTAAAAGCTTCTTGCCCCTTTTTTGAAAACCCCAATATGTTAAAAGAAATTATGTCCCCTGGAGGGGAAATAAAATCAGGGAAAATGGGTAGCAAGATCTATTGTGTTATTTTACATACATTGAGTAAGCGTAATGTGGAAACTATACACATACAGTTGCGCGTGTTTACTGAAAAACACATCGGCACTCCAATCTTTTGCGTCCCATCACTTGTGTGAGACCTTAGACTCTTTATTTCCAAAACTACAGACAGCTTGTTTGAAGGCTTATCAACCACCTTCTAATAAGCTGCCAGCCTCTGCAACATTGATGATGTGATGCTTGATGGTAGGTGCACTGCAATATTACTGAATCAAGCTGATAAAGCAGCTTGACAATATTAACTGGTTTAAGTCACAGACACATTCAGTTTTACACTGAGCTTGAAATATTTTTCTCCACAGTAAAAATAATGTTCATTAAAGAGAAGCAGAGCTCCCCTCTGCAAAAACATTAAAGGAGTGCCCCTAGGAAAAAAAAAGCATCCAGAGGGCTAAACAGAGGAAGTATACTTACCATGCATATTTTAACAGCTAGCCTTTAGAAAGTACCTTCCAACCAAAGACTTCAAAGTACTTCCCCCACGTATACTTGCAACACTTAATATTGCAGCTCAGTTGTGGTTCACTTTTATCCTAAGTTTGAATTTTATTCTCTTTGTTTTGAACTCATAATCATAAAATTCATATTACCGTACCCCCAAACAAAGGGAAGCAAAATTTAAACCTAGGTTATAATTAAATAAAACCACAGCATAGCCATTTGCTTTGAAACAACTGATATCTTTAAGACCAAGGTATGATTGATGTTCCTGGCACATTGCCCGTTAATATGTTTAAAGTTGCCTTTTATTGATGTATTAAATAACCTGATCCATCTTATCTTTTCAAATAATACAATTGCACTTACTTCTCATCATAGGATTGTAAATATAATATTATTAGCTTACAGTTTTATCTCATCGCCAACATGTTTTAATTTGGGCTTGAAAAAACGCTACCGCTAAGAAGGAGCTCCACTGCTACACTATTACTGTCGAGGAAATACACCTGGCTGCTTCGATCTACGTTATCTTTCAGCATGTATTTAAGCCAAAACCCTACGAAAAGTGTCAAGCAAAAGTAGTTAATTGCTTTGTGAGTTAGACCCAGTATAGATTCGCTTGAGTTCCAAATATGGCTGTGCTTTGAGGGTTTTTGTCCCGACTGTAGCTTCTTTCAACTGCTGTTGGAGCATATTTTGTTGTTTAGTAAAACGCAAAAAGGTGAAAAATGTCATGACATTATTACCTCCGTATTATTTCAAGCACCTCATGAGCATATAGTTCATTAGTAAAATAGCGACCTTAAGTGTTGTTTCGACGCTTCTCTATCATCGATCTTACCGGGTCGTTGATCCTTACCGGCCATTTGGGATTTTTATGGAGGTTTCCGCTGACAACTCGTTCCCAGACTTCCGTTCCCCGTTCCCCGCTCCCCGCTCCCCGTTCCCCGTTTTAGTAACATCCATATCAATCGTGCATGCAAGGAATACCCCCGTCCCCCGGGGCATGCATAAACCGGACGAAAAATCACACGAAATATAGCCTGCGTAGCAAGCGTTTCCGTTTTGTTTCGGAGCGAAAAGAGACCGTGGAAGGGGATTTTCCGTCCTTTTACTTGCGCCATTTTTCGCGCGGTCTTTGGCTCTTGTTCCTCGTTCTTTGCTCCTAAACAGCACAGAAACGCTTGCTAGGCAGGCTACAGGAAATACCCTTTTTACGACAGTACATACAGAGGAATAACACACCCTTTCCACCCTGCAAACCCTATCATCCGGCAAATTGCCCGCCGGGAGGCGGAACAGTGCCGGAATAATCTTTCCAACCTTGGGGGATACCAAATCGATTGGGGTCAGCAAATGTTTCCTCACGCCAGTAAAATGACAGCAAGGTAGAAAATGTTTTATCACGGTAGTAAAATGAAATCAAGGTTAAAAGTGTCACATCATGATAGTAAAATGATATCAAGGTAGAAAATGTTTTATCACGGAAGTAAAATGATGTCAAGGAAGAAAATGTGCTATCACGGTAGCAAAATGATACTGCAAGTTAGAAAGTGTTCCATCACAGTAGTACAATGAAATCAAGGTAGAACATGAGTTTATTTGGAACCAAATAAAAAATTTTATGTCTCCCCTTCCAGTTTTTTTTAATGCATGGATTTTTCGGGGGTGGTGTCGTTTGCGGCTTCAAAGGAGGAAACGAAACGTCCCCAGCGGCGTAGAGCGAAGGAGAAACGGATGCTTTCGCAGGCTACCAAGGCTCTGGCATGTGGACTTTGAATTATCTTACAATGGATTACGATCGCATGAGAATCACAAGACGAAAAGTAAAATTACTTTTGGGTAATAATCACGTGCTCCTATGATAAGGCCACTCCCAGTAAATTTACTTAGCCTCGATCTCATACCCTTGATGATTTCGTAAACATTATTTCATATTACTTAACATTGATAAGATGATTTTTCAGTTTTTAGTAAAACCGGCCATTAATTTGGCCATATTCTTAATCCCAGACCACAGTATCGCTTTTCTTTGTTTCCTAAGTTAGGCGATCTAATAAACAAAGCTCGGCTGTTGGCAGTAAAGTCGGGTTTAGTGATAGTATTTTTAGTAAACCGGGGAGGAGACACATAAATGATGTTTCGTCACGGTAGTAAAATGATATCAAGGAAGAAAATGTCACATCACGGTAGTAAAATGATACTGCAGGGTAAAAATTGCTAGTCTTTACACTAGAGCCTAAATAAGCTAAGAAATATTTCAAAAAAATAAAATAATTAAAAAATAAATTTGAAAACCATCCTTAAGACCGACTTGGCGAACTTGCGGTTTCCAAGCTTTGAGAAAGGCGAAGCATGTCAATCAATCTTAATTTTGTTGCGTGGGAAAATACTTAAATAAACCTGACGTAAAAAAGATAGGTTGTGGGTGAAGCTTTCTTTTACTTAAAGCATTTAAAATTTACTTGTCTTGAAATATTTCTTAACTTATTTAGGCTCTAGTGTAAAAACTACCATAAATGAAATCAAGGTAGAACATGATGTTCCATCACGGTAGTAAAATGATATCAGGGAAGAAAAAAATCACGGTAGTAAAATGATACTGCAAGGTCGGAAATGTTTTATCATGGCAGTAAAAGGATATCAAGGTACGTAGAAAATGCCACATCACGGTCGCGGTAAAATGATATCCGGGTACAAAATCCGAGAATCTCGTTCGTCGGTAAACCAAACAGAAACGCTTGCTACGCTAGCGCAGGAGAAGCAAAGCTCAAAGACGAAATCAGAAAATGGAGGCTTTTGCATTGTGTAAGGGATTATTGAATCCGAAAACCTTCAACAACTTCAGTTTTCTAGTAAATGTTCTTTGGATTGTAGCTGGGATTTTAGGAGTACTGTTAATCAAAGAATCGAGGTCGGACTTCCACTGTGATGTGAACCATGCTAAAGTCGACTTCGTCACTCAGAAGTGTTTCGTGGAGTACGAGAAGCTATACAACAAGCTGTCTGTTCCTTTTTACTGTTTTGTGATTGCTAACTTCTCTTTTCCTGTTATTGTTTGCATGATATATTCAACATGGGCGACGCCAAGAGTAAAGAAACTTGAAAGCGGAAATATAGATGCTAGCACAACTCGAAGAAAACTCTTTATGACGTACTGTTGTCAACTTGTCACTAGATTTTGTGTCGGGATTGTTTTTATCCTCCTTCTATTAAATGAAGTCTTTTGTCCTCGTGAATTTCCGTTAAACTTCCAGTGTAACCTCATGAGAGAAGGCAATCAATCAGCGAATACGACTGGGACAGCACAAACTCCAACTTATGAATGCAACAATAAGCGAGCTCATTTGAAAACCGTATCGATCTATGTCGTAAGTTGCGAGAATGGAATTGTTGCAGCTCTTCTTTTAATTGAGATTTTCGTTATTTTGTCTCGGGCAAGAAAATGGGGAAAACGTTTCATGAATGACTTTCGTTTCTATACTGATCATCTTACATCTACCGGTAATTACAATCCCCTGGAAGAGTCGGTGCAGCTTGAGGAACGTTCAGCTCAGTTGGAAACTTCTATCAATTCCCTGAAGGAAAGTGTCTTAAAGAATACCGATCGACTTACAGACCTCTCGTCACCCTTGAAACCGAAACCGGGTGAAGGTGATCAACCTAAAGATCTTAAACTCGACCAAATTTACACTAATTTAATTTTTCATCCTGGAAGAGCCGATTATCACTTTCCTGAAAAGCGGCGGGAACAGCTAAAAGTGTACGCCAAACCAGAGACAAAATTATCACCAAACAGTCCCGGAGACATTGTTGATCATCTGCACAAGAATATTCTAATCGTTGCTCGCCCTGGAATCGGCAAAACATTGTTTTGCACGAGGTTTTTACGTCTTTGGGCAAGCGACCGCTTATTCGAGGAAGCGCAAAATCCAGAATTACGATTTGACGTTGCTTTCCTCGTTAAATTTAGGAGACTGAACTTTACTGCTAAGCTTAACCTACGAGAACTATTGGATTACTCAGAATTTTCACCAAATATGACTGATGAGGTATGGCACTACATTCTTGAAAACCCAAGCAAAGTACTTTTTATTTTCGATGGAATTGACGAATACTCTGCAAGGAAGGAAATACAAGAAGATGACTCTATTTATAGAGACACCGTGGAAGAAAAAATGCCTTTGCATGCATTGTACACGAAGATTACGTCGGGAAAACTTCTTGATGGAGCTACTGTATTAACGACTACAAGACCTACTTCTGTATCATGCGTAAGAGACCCTGACCCTAGCAGAGTAATTGAAATTCTTGGATTTTCATCAGAGCAAGTGAAAAACTATGTGGAGAAGTTCGCTGGGGATGACAAAGGTGCAGGAGGAAGGGTATGGGATCATATCAGCAACAACCTTAATCTCTTTTCGTTGTGTTATATTCCTGTCAACTGTTTCATCATTTGTTCGTGCCTGCTTTTCATTCTAAAGACCCAATTAACTTCATATTCCACTGATGCTTTTGCAAGGTCAGCAACTACACTCACTCATATATACAGCTGCGCCGTAAAGCTTATATTCTTCAGGCACAGTAACAGATACCGTAATAAAACTGTTGGCCAGGACAAAATTACGACACCATTCGAACAGCTGCCTGAAGATGTGAAAGGGGATTTTAAGAGGCTTGGAACAATTGCTTTTACAGGAATTAAAGAAGGAAGATTAACCTTTGAATCAGAAGAAGTTGCGAACCTAGAGGATTGTGGCCTACTTCATCGCTTGCCTGATTTAAAACCAGAGGCAAAGCGACCATTGGAAAAACCCAAGGCTCAATACTGTTTCCAGCATCTGACCATCCAAGAATTTTTCGCAGCAAAGCATGTGACAGACACATTGGAAGAAGTAGAACTGCGAGCATTTGTTTCAAGTCACATCACGGACGGTGCATGGCAAGTAGTGTTGCAGTTTGTGGCTGGGCTTCTCAGTGACCGAAAAGAACCACTGACCGATATTTTTACTAACCTTCTGCCAGTGTCAACGTATGAGGAAGAGGAACAGGAACTGGACCCGAGCATAGTAACCTGTTGGCCAAGTAAGGAAGACGCACAATTAGCGTTAACGTTATGTCACTGTTTATATGAGATCGATGCAGACGATTCAGCCGTACAAAACAAAGTAAGAGAGATTGATTTCAACGCTGTAGTGTTAAAGTACTGTCGACTAGGACCTGTTGATTGTGCTGCAATAGTCAATTTTCTTAAAAAGCATAACGAAATTTTAATGATTAACTTGAGTGGTAACAAGATTGGCTGCCTCGGTTGCAAAGAAATAAGCGAGTTTTTAGAGTCTTCTACGAGTGTCAGTGATGGTAACTGCAAACTTAGCAGCTTAAACCTCAATCATAACTTAGTAACAGATGAAGGAGTAAAGTATTTGGCTAAAGCTTTGAAGCACAATAATTGCAAACTAGACAGCTTAAACCTCGCCGATAACGAATTAACTAATGAAGGAGTAAAGTGTTTGGCTGAAGCTTTGAAGGATAGTAATTGCACACTTAGCAGCTTAAACCTTAATCATAACTTAGTAACAGATGAAGGAGTTGAGAGTTTGGCTGAAGCTTTGAAGAACAGCAATTGCAAACTAAACAGCTTAAACCTCTGGCAAAACAATGTAACCGAAGAAGGAGTCAAGAAATTGGCTGAAGCTTTGAAGGATAGTGATTGCAAACTCAACAGCTTAAACCTCGCCGGTAACGAATCAGTTACCGATGAAGGAGTAAAGAATTTGGCTGAAGCATTAAAGCACAGCAATTGCAAACTAAACACCTTAAACCTCACCGGTAACGAATTTACCGATGAAGGAGTAAAGAATTTGGCTGAAGCATTAAAGCACAGCAATTGCAAACTAAACAGCTTAAACCTCGCCTGTAACAAATTAACCGATGAAGGAGTAAAGTGTTTGGCTGAAGCTTTAAAGCACAGCAATTGCAAACTAAACAGCTTAATCCTCTGGCAAAACAATGTAACCGATAAAGGAGTAAAGTATTTGGCTAAAGCTTTGAAGGATAGTAATTGCAAACTAAAAAGCTTAAACCTCTGGCAAAACAATGTAACCGATAAAGGAGTAAAGTATTTGGCTGAAGCATTAAAGCACAGCAATTGCAATCTAAACAGCTTAAACCTCACCGGTAATGAATTTGCCGATGAAGGAGTAAAGTATTTGGCTGAAGCTTTGAAGGCCGGTGATTGCGAATTAAAAAGCTTAGACCTCGCCTGTAACAAATTAACCGATGAAGGAGTAAAGTATTTGGCTGAAGCATTAAAGCACAATAATTGCAAACTAAAGAGCTTAAACCTCACCAATAACAAATTAACCGATGAAGGAGTGAAGTATTTGGCTGAGGCTTTGAAGGACGGTAATTGCAAATTACACAGCTTAGACCTCGCCTGCAACAAATTATCTGATGAAAGAGTAAAGTCTTTGGCTGACACTTTGAAGGATAGTCATCAGGGTCACCCAACGGCTGTTTGCTGTAAAATATCTGTTCGGAGAAGCAAATACCTAGAATATTGAGGACGGCTACAAATGTCTAGATGATTATTGCATTGATGTACAAGTTTCGAGGCTTACCTAATAAATTCCCTACCATTTCCCTACCAGTATAATCTTTAACATTTTACTCCCCAGGTTACTGTAAATGATCGATTAAGGTGACTCGACCCAGTTTTTTTTGGGGGGTACCATCCTACTTTGAAGCTCTCTGGTATCCCCCACCTTTACTTTTATCGTAAGTCTAACACATAGTTTTAGATCAATCTACTGTTATAAAATGCGGCGATTATAAATGTCAGTGGCCACGCCCCTTTGAGGTCGAGTAAATCGGCTGTTGGCGTGCGCATTAGTGCCTTGCGCTGAATCAATCATTTACGGTATTATATCTAATATTTTTGGGTCCTTGCAAGTCAGTAAAACGCTTTAGGGCCTTGTAAATTCGGAAAAAGGAGAACTTAAATTTTCGGATTTTCGGAAGATTAAGTAACGTGAGGGAAAAACTGACGGGAATCAGAAAAATTCTAACTAAAACGTTAAATTGGATCTAAAATTTCCGGGAAATAATACTGAAGCCGTTGTTGTTTGTAAAATACTCATTTTATTTTTACGGTAAGCTATTTTACGACTGTCACCGAACAGATACAAATTCTAAAACGTAAATTGCGCTGCTTATAATGCATTTCACTAGACATCTTAAATTACTCTGGACACTCCGGCTAAAAGGCGTTGTCAATGTATTTAGGAGGAGACCGTCGTTGGGTGCCCCTGAGTCATTGCAAAGTAAACAACTTGTACCTCCTTAGTAATCTTAGCGATCAAGGGAATCGTGTATGGTTGAAGCTTAGGCGCTTAGTATTTGCAATGTACGTTCATAAAAGTGAAACGTTATTATAACAGTGAAGAAGTATATGAGAGGAACCAATTCTTTTAAGCCCTCTTTGACTTTGAACTTCATTAGTGAACAGAGCTGTGTTCGCAAAGAGCAAAAAGCTTGCATTCAAACAGCTTTACTGAGTTTTACTGACGTTAAAACAGCGAGACAGAAGTAGACTAGTGCAATAATAGGAGAATCACCTGTGAAGAGTAACTGTAGTAACGCTTTTATTACTTTCTGATAATTGCTGATTGATACACTACTGATAATTTTGTACAGTTTTCAGTTTTGCAATGTGATGTTTTAGTATAGAGGAAATTAAGTATCTTGTTGTGGTTCAATTTAACGCTCGGCTTAAATTTTATTTCTCTAGTTTTGGGGTATAGTAATGTATGAACGAAATAAAATTGAAACCAAGGATAAAATTGAACCACAACATTAATCTTTTACTTACGTCTGGCATGTCTATGAAAAAAGGTTTGCATACTAATTGCTGTAAATTAGACAAGAGACTTTCATTAAGTTGACTGTAAAAATGGAGCTGTACATATTCAACGAATAGTATGAATGTTACATTAAATACAATTACATTTAATGGATTTGAGTGATACTGGATCAAGAGTGAGAAAATTAAGTCACTTCTGGGGAGGAGGTGGGAGGGAAGAGTTGGCCACATCTAAATACTCCCTCATTTTGTGGTTAACATTCTTTCATTCATCGCCTTCTGAAATCAAATACAGTTTGTTTCTCTGTCACCAGCTATGATCTAGACGTTCTCTGTTTTCTACTGGCAGAATCCGTGGTCTTAATCTGCAGGTTATTCTGGGGACCTGTATTCCACAGTATACCGAAACTGTCAATCACACTAGAAGACACAGTCACGTGATAAATAGACTGTGCACTAAACTGGAGAAGGAACTGGGCACTAAAGTAATCATGGTGGGGAACCACTGTTTGTTCTAAGCTGGTCACGTGATCTCGGGAAGTCTGAAATAAAGAAAATACACCGAAATTTCAGAAATATTTTACACTGCTTCTGTTGCAAGCACCAGAGAAAATCAGTACAGAAATTGGTAAAGCGTGGCGTAAGAGTCTTACGCGCTCGAAGTGCGCGAGCCTCGCACGCCCGTAGGGTCTCTCCCCAGTCTCGCTCTCTGTGTTAGCCTCGTTCCAGACTTTTTGTTTGACTGCTCGCGCGTAGGTACTTGAATACGCAAAAAATACGGACAGTTTTGTAGTCTACACTCTCAGTGAGTCTGAAGGGCTAAAAGCTACTGTGAGTCTAGAAACAAATACAAACCTTTCCATCTATGGGTTGTTGCTTTCTGTCCTCAGCGCCCCATGTTACTGACAAGCAAACAGACTGCACATGGCGGTAAAGTCCTATAAACAAGAAAAACAACACAAACTAAAATTGTATAGTGAAGGTAACTCCATAATCCAACTTTGAGTCCTTGTATTGTAAACAAGGGATTGGTTATGGCTTTGAGCTGAGACTTACAGCCTCAGACATCAAGGCGGATGATTTTGCACAATACATCGTTAGCCAGTTCAGGACAAAGGAGTAACTATGAAGTGGAATGACTGCTAAAGAAAGGTTGATATGAGCAAAACATACTTTTAAAAAAATAGCTTGTGGTATCGTAGTTGTTTTTCCAAGTTGAAACCAACTGTAAAATTATTTGGGGAAAATTAGGTTGCGAACATTACATCGGGTCACACTACAATAGTGTCGTAAAAGATTGTGTTTACACTGCTAACAAGACTCTGACCTAGCTTTTGACAGCGCTCTATGACTCCTTCCACCTTAAGGACAAATTGTGTATCCAGTGTGACCGAAATTGGCTCTGAAGGCGACCGAGGCGAAGGTGACAAAGCCAGCTACATGATAGAAAGAGAGACCAAGATTAGCAAAAGGAATTGTTGTTCAAAATCTAAGAATGATGTTGGCAAATAAGAGTTACAGAAAGTAAACAGATTCAAGTTTTGTTGTCACAAGAAAGGAATTTCTACCTAATGTTCATTCATTTCAAACATGTTGCGCCCTGTCTCTTAATGGTTATAACTAATTTAAAAAAGATTCTTTTATACGGACCGCGAGACAAAGCTAGCATCCTTTCCATTCCCGCCCTTTTTCACTACAGGAGGCTCACTGTATTTTTTAGCGTTTTCCATGAAAGAAAACACCGGACTTCACCCATTATTACTGGGTCTCTGCAAGTGCAACAGAAAAACTCCTACTAGTACCTTTTGGTTTTCTTTTAGTATCAGGTGAAGAGAATGTCTTTTCTGAACTGTTTAAAAGTTATGTAGTGAACCAAAGACAAGAACATCAAATAATGCAAGGTTGGTTCAGAAAAGCCAAATGAAGCGTGTGGCGAGCGATATAACGGTTATAAACACGGAAACTGGGAAAGAAAATTCCACGACTTTTATAAAGCCAACAACATCAAGACTGTATACAGAGGAGGCTCTCCTAACAGACACCCTCGTAAGAGGACAGCTTTACTCACGGCCGCCTTCACAAAACCCCGTTTTTCTCAACTCTCATACAAACTCTGCATTTTTACATTCCCGTAAGCGGCCAGCTCCAGGTACGGGCACTTTTTTCGCGTTACGAGAGTTTCCGCTCACGAGAGCGTCCACTGTACAGGCAATCTAGGACTCACCAAAATAGTTACATAGAAAATTTTTGAGTACAAACCTTGATAAACGTGGCTTGTTGACTGGAGAAGAAGTGTTTCGGGAAAATAAACGGCACCTTCAGGAGAGTCATGGAAGCCTGAATAAGACATTCAGTTTGCTGAAAAACGATAAAATGTACAACCATAAATCAATATCATGGCACTGACATTTCCCAAATTGACTAGGCTAAAAAAAAACTCCTGCGCACGATTTATTTCGGACTTTCTTTTCGGTGTTTGAAAAGTAAGTGGCTGTTAGTATCCAAGTCAGTTACTCATCGATCCAGAAAAGAATTAACTTAAGAAAGTTTTCAGACACTCATATATTGGATTCCTTTACTGATAAAATTACTTCATTAGCAAGTGAAACCAGTGTACAAAAGTTAAAAAAACTTCATTAATTTACTGTGTCTGCTCAGTGCTCAATGCATTACATGGATATCATTAAATGATTCATCATTTTACCGAGTGGCAAACAGGAAGAGCTTCCAGCTGAATTGCTAGCTCCTAAAGTGATAAGAAAAATTATACAGTAAAAAGTGAAATAAAAAATTTAACGTTTAATGACTTTAGTTAGCTTGTTGAAAAAAAAAATGAGGATACCTGGCCAGGAGCCTCTTCGTAAGGCGAGTGATACATGTTTTAAAGATGAAAGAGCTAGTTTTCATTTAAAGAAATCCTGGAGCTACTTTCGTGGAAATTAACACCTTTTTATAGCTGAGTATCGTTGGTGAGGTGTACTAATATAATACAATATAATACACAGTTTACAGGTTGCCCTTACGACTCCAGAAGGAGGATCACGAGGTTATCCCTATATTAAGATATCTCCTTACAGATGAACCCACCCAGCTCAGGAAAGGTTGGCCACACCTCCCGGGTCTACGTCCCCTACTTTTTTTGAACAGCAGTGTGGGCCCTTTAACGTCCCAAAAAGGCTACCAGAACTGAGGAAGCTATCGTCAGCAGTTTATCTAACGATACGCAACCTGTGGAACTGGTGGAACGGAAAGGGAACTCGCGAGGAAGCAGGGAAGGAAACCTTCACGTACTCGCTTCTCGCGTGCCTTGGCTTAATTTCCCCTCTTCCCTTTAAGCTCCAATGGAATTAGTCTGAAATGTCATACGTCTCCACCCGCTTACCCGTGGGGGTTGAGGGGAGAGAGATCCCCACGGGTTAGGGGGTGGAGACGTATGACATTTCAGACTACAATGGAAAATATACGCCAATAAAAGAGACGTCGATATATTTGTTACTAATAGTCCATTAACATTTGAAGTCAATGACAAACCTCTACTGTTTGTAGAATTTCTGTGCAAGCAAGGGAAAGTGGACTACGTCTAAACGTGAAAGACTTGTTGACACTGCTTCCTTGCTCACCTAAAGAGCTACAAACAGATCCAGATATAAGTTAAGTGGTTTACAGATGAGCTTGTCAAAAATCGCACATATATTGAATTTAAGCTCGGGAAATATTGTCTTGGAAGTCCGCTAATGGGCAACTCAGTAGATACAGACAAATCTTTCCGAGGTCTAACATGCGTGTAAAGCCACGGTAACATAACGTAACGCAACGTAGAGAAACTCAACACAACTTTAAGTAAAATTACTCAACATCACGAAACGGAACGTAACGAAAAGCCCCGAACGACTTACCACCTTCAAAAAAGCCTAGCTACATATACGTTGTCTTTATCTAACAAAAAGTGCCCAAACTGAGAAAAGTGCATTACACTTTTGTGAACATCACGCGTTAAATGACTAAATTAACTTGTTTTACCTTGGCTGAGAAGTTTTCATTAAGACATCAATACTGTGTGATATCATTAAACAGCTCTGTTGAAGACTGAGAAACTTGTCAAGGAATTTTAATTGATCAACTTTAAGTTAACCTTTTTCAGGAAAAAAAATGCAGAGTATAAAAACAGAGAATCACAGACATTCTACCTGTACCCTCATAAAGACGGAGCCATAGCGGGTGTTCAGCGCACTGACTATTCTGCCCCGCTGCCGTAAAATTTACGATTTTTCGCATGCGTGCGAGCTAAGGCCCAAGGAACTGGCAAAATTTGTTTATAAAGAGGTTTCGTTACACTGAAACTCTTTCTGGGGCGAAGAATATGGTTCCTTATATCAAGGACTTCGTTGTACTCAGGTTTAGTGCTTGGAATCAGACATGGAACAAGAATCACAGCATTTCGAACAAAAACTGAATAAAAGGATACGTTTCGATATTCTGCAGACTGACCGGATCCGCATTAAACGAGGAGCGGTACAATTGTCCATATTTTTCCCCCAAACAGCGGAACAGTTTGCTGCATTCGGTCATCTTAAAAAGCAATATCAGTAAAGTTATTCTGACATATACGAGGTGGCCATAAAGTCACATGATCACGTCCGCGGCTCTATTTGTTATAAGCGGTTTGGTCTTGAAATTTAGTTTTTGATGTGTCCTGTCACATAAGTGAACAGCAATGACACTGACCATAATGTTTTGTTTAGCACAGACTGCGAGGATGATATTATAATGAGCCTGCGAGCAATGCTAAGGGAGTTATCAACGAATTTCTGTTTCCTTCCACCCATAAGGCAGATTTACAAATAACAACGCGACGGCAAATGATGTGATATTTCGATGGCAACTGGCCCGTGTCATAGGAAAGATTTTGCTCACACCCAGGTAACCTTACCGCCTATGAATGCTTGACTGAGCTAGACATGCATTACACTACACGCGCCTCAACTAAAAATCAACGCTTTTTCAACTACATGTAACTCTTCAATTAGACTTACTTGAGCAGCAAAATGGCTCAACCGTTGAACGTCTTGACCAGTTGCCATGGCAACAGCAGTAGCAATAGCCGGGGGAGGACAGGATTTCACGGTTGCACAAGATGCAAGAAGCCGAGTATGAGCTTGGAACATCTCAGCTCTCAGGCTTGCATACGTACACTGGAAAGACAGCTGATGGTTTGACGACTGCACAGATGCCTAAAAACAAAGGGTACAATGTGACGGGCAAATAATGCACAGTATTACTCAACTATTCATTTTCTAAGACTGACCAGCATCCAAGCTGTTCCTGATGTCTGACTGGGAACTGAATCAGCCGACTTCAGTTCCGGTTTCGCCACTTGTCTAGTTCGCTACGTTCGAGTTCGCTACATGTTCGCTACTAACATGCCGAATTCGCTGCCTCTGTTAATTCACTGTTTTAATTTCTCTTTTAAAACAAGATGTTCGTTCTACAAGATCGTGGAAGTAGGATGATAAAGTAAGTAGCGAATTCGGCATGTTAGTAGCGAACATGTAGCGAACTCGAACGTAGCGAACTAGACAAGTAGCGAAACCGGCGTAAACCGCCCAACGAAAACATCATCCTTCGACCACCGGGAGTTGACGGTACATTCGCGGAGATCTCCTCCTACACATCACGATTCGCTATCGCCGCATTCAGGTCTCTAGTATCAAATTCTGAATCTCATACAACAATCTACAACACGGTGAAGATACTTATCATAGAAGTTGTTTTATTTCAGCTTGGATTCCATATGTGCAGTGTATTCCCTTTTGTAGACTCAGAGAACGACAAGTAAACAAGCGGAGAATCGAATTAGGCGCCTAAGTTACCGTTTCCTCCTTTCTACCCTGCGAGCAGAGGCCCTTTGATCTTATCTAGGAAGATCGAAGGGCCTCTGCTCGCAGAGTACGTCCTTTCACGATTCTTCCACTTTCCTGCTCGAGTTTTCTCCCATTTTGTGGTCCAACAAGAAATAGACGCAAGGCAAAGTATATTTCTCTCTTAGCAAACCAGGAGCAAGGGATGGCGCAGTCGTGAGGGCACCCGCCTTCCACCAATGTGGCCCGGGTTCAAATCCCGGCGACATCTCCTTTTGTCAATTGTGCCTTGAGTTGTTTGCTGGTTCGCTACCTTGCTCCGCGAAGCTTTTTTCTGGGTACTAGGGTTTTCCTATCTTCTCAAAAACCAACACTTTCCAATTCGACCAGGAATGGTAAAAGAAGAACCTCTACGTGGATATGCTACCTTTAAATCGTTATTTATTAATTTATTTTACATTAAAGGGGCACCTTCAACCAGTGTGCATTACGTTCGTGCACTTCACCGACCAACGTAGGACCAGAGTTTCTTTGGAAACTAAGCCCTTTACATTCTATTTTCAATTTTTGAGGATGATGTAATAGTACAGACCTTGAGTGTTGTAATCCCTTTCTGGTATTTAGCGCCAGCATCAGATATTTGCTTGGACATAGCTAGCTGAGAATCACATTCATCTTTCAACAAACTCTCTGCTTCACAGAAGAACTTCAAAGCATTAAGCCAAAAGTAAAAATGTTCAGAGGCAACCTGTAGATCAAATAAAATATTTTAATCTCGTTTGTCAAACTGCTACATTTCCCCTACGAAATATACAAACCCAAGAGAGGGTATCCGGTTACCTCGCCACCAAGAAATATATATCTTCATACTTATCGAAAGGACAGGTCTCTATAAAGAATTCTTTCACTTTGAATTTACAATGAAATTTAAGGAGGTAAGGTTCAATTGACAATATTAACCAACTTTCATAAGAAAGACTGTTAGTTTTTAAACAAATCGCACTTCTCGAGCGATGCAAATAAGCCGTATTAAGGTATTAAAAAGTGGCAATTATTCACAAAAATTAAAACTAAAGATGAGAAGTTCGATACAAGGTGTCAATTAAAATCCATAAACTTATATTTGGGCTTGAGGAAGAAGTACCAATCCCAGGTAAGTAAACAGTGTCAATTATTGCGGAGTTATGTGGTGGCGAGTAGACTTCTTGGTGGCGAGACGACCGCAAACCCAAGAGAGCTATCTTATTTACAATAGACTGAAAAACAGTCGGTTTCTTTCTCTTAAAAATCGCAACCTCTGCTTCATATGCCAGGTTTCGAATATAATTTTTGGGATACAAAATTCGGGACTTTTTTGAGACATTTTTCCAAAACAATAATTTCCTTTTCTAGACTCAAGGTTATCAAATAAGCCATCAAATAGAAACCTCGACCGACACAGGAATCGAGCTTTTCTGGGGGTGCACTAGCGTGCGGACACAGACATATTTCCGGTCGTTGCTTCTCTCCACATTAACGAAGAATTGAAACCCGGAAATAGTATGTTTCTTTACAGCCGCCCTCTCGAAGGCTTTCATAGACACTAAACATACCTTAGAGGAAAGAGTTTCAAAAATTTTTGCTGCGAGGCTATGAAATCCCTGACAAGAAAGACAAATAATGGTTGTCAATAACAACCAAAATATGACAAAGTCAAGTAGACAGTAGCACCCTCAGTTCTAAATAAAAAGACTAACCCTTCCTCATACAGCAATAATATTATTGAAGAGTGCAGTCAGTAGAAGAAAATTCTTAAGTAGGGCTTTGGGACAATTTCATTCACTTAAAATTGTCTGAAGTGTTCATTGTGATCATTCAATACAACGGACAAACACTGCATGTACATGTATTTTGCTCTAGTTTTTACAACAAACTTTGCAAAAAGATTTGCGTTTCCAAGCTGTTATTTTTTCTTGCAATCCTTTCCTGATGCTTTCTTTTGTTTCCCTGTTAAGTAAAGCTAGCAAAGCGATTTACATTTGTTCCTAGTGATGGTTACATTGCTCTAAGTTTATTTCCCTCTAAAAAGTGTTCTCTAGACATAAACCAAGCAAACAGGATTCATTTCAAAATTTTTGGACAATAACTGGAATCGCTGAAACTCTTTTTAACGCTTCATCCATATAACAAAGACTTAAAAACCTGTCTTGTGGCTTGCTTCCCAACTCTAAATATGGTCCACTATCTTGAGGATGTTACTAATCTCTCCAGCTGCTCTAATATCATATTGTCTAATTTTAATTTTCTTTCATCCTCCTGTGACACACCTTGATATGACTGGAAAATCAAAGTTGCCATGCCAACCTAAAATAACAAGAATTATTAATAACTGAATCATTGGATAATGCAATTCTAGAGCTCGGATTGGGTCAGCCATCATGGTATATGAGCCTTTATACCATGCTCTCTAAATACGGTAACTGTACACGTCTGCTCAAAATTAAAAACAAGCTGAAAATCGGTTGTTTTTACAAATAAAGTCGGGAAGAATTCTCGATATTTTGTGGGCGTTTTTAATAAAACAATTATTCTACTCGCGCTTGTTGGATATGAGATGATTATAGCCAACTCAGTAGTATAGGGTGCACCGAATTAACCCCTTTTTTGGGGAGGATTCTCATTAAGGTGGGGAGGAATACATTAACGCCGATGACGTCATAGGCTATTGTCTTGATCTCATGAATAAAATGCGCAGGAATCTCATTAAGATAAGGTCGTGTGCTATTTTAAGTTGGTTTAGGTTTTCTAGTTACTTTAAGGTCGATAAACGTCTTCGTTTTCTATTGGTTAGTTAGAAAATAAGAAAAGTTTTCATTGGTTAATTCATAGTGCCTGAGGAGTAAAGTCAAACTTGTCTCTGACTTAAAATCACTGAGACGTAACGTAACTATGCAAGTTCTATTTCCTGCTGCTGCGATTGTCCTGGTTCCGGTTCACTGATTTTTGGCAGGTAAATCGTGCATATTAATGAGGGCAAAGGCCAACTAGCTCTTTTTTACACTGCAAACAATGTTTTACTCACCCCTCTCCTTTTCATTTTTTTTACTTTCCTCCTCCTCCACAATTTTATTATTTTCGTTCCTCAATTCCCTCCTCCTCCTCATTTTTATTGTTTTCCCTCCTCCTCCTCCTCCTCCTCATTTTTGTTTTCCCTCCTCCTCCTCCTCCTCCTCCTCCTCCCCATTTTTTGGAGGAGAGAAAACAATAAAAATGAGGAGGAGGAGGAGGAGGAGGGAAAACAATAAAAATGAGGAGTAGGAGGAGGAGGAGGGAAAACAAAAATGAGGAGGAGGAGGAGAGAAAACAAAAAATGGGGAGGAGGAGGAGGAGGAGGAGGGAAAACAAAAATGAGGAGGAGGAGGAGGAGGAGGGAAAACAATAAAAATGAGGAGGAGGAGGGAATTGAGGAACGAAAATAATAAAATTGTGGAGGAGGAGGAAAGTAAAAAAAATGAAAAGGAGAGGGGTGAGTAAAACATTGTTTGCAGTGTAAAAAAGAGCTAGTTGGCCTTTGCCCTCATTAATATGCACGATTTACCTGCCAAAAATCAGTGAACCGGAACCAGGACAATCGCAGCAGCAGGAAATGGAACTTGCATAATTACGTTACGTCTCAGTGATTTATGTCAGAGACAAGTTTGACTTTACTCCTCAGGCACTATGAATTAACCAATGAAAACTTTTCTTATTTCTAACTAACCAATAGAAAACGAAGACGTTTATCGACCTTAAAGTAACTAGAAAACCTAAACCAACTTAAAATAGCACACGACCTTATGTTAATGAGATTCCTGCGCATTTTATTCATGAGATCAAGACAATAGCCTATGACGTCATCGGCGTTAATGTATTCCTCCCCACCTTAATGAGAATCCTCTCCAAAAAAGGGGTTAATTCGGTGCACCCTATACTACTCAACTCATATCCAATGCCTACTCGTGGAATAATTGTTAAATATACAGTTAAAATTAAAAAGATTACAGTTTCGGGTCCGTTTACAGTGAAAACTCCATAATACAGACACCGGAGGAACAGAGCCAAGTACATACATACATACATACCACTAAATCTTTTGATTCCTGGCTGCTGTTATTAGCAACAACCACAACTTTGTTAAAATGAGATACAATTTCATTTCTTAAAGGAGCCACAACATGTGGCATCTGTGTTGTCATAGTGACCATTGTACGGCAAAGTGCAAGGGCTACTGCACCTAAGAGAAAAAACAGCTACACATAAACAATGATTTTAACCCACAACATGTACAAGTTTTTCTAAAACAGAGGTTTTCCACAAAGAGTACTTAGTAAAAATTCACCTATATACTACTTAGAGCTATTAATAATATTGCATGCTTAACCTTTAATGGTTCAAGTTGTCCACTAACACAACAAACAACAGTAGAAGTCTCCAGTGCCAT